TCTTCTTTTTGGCTGGTCAAAATGAGGGTAGTGCAAGGTTGTGAACTTTAAATGAAAGACATATAAAATATACTTAAAATATAAAACATATAAAGATATTTTCATTGGTCACTGCAGTTGCAATAAATTACTATGGGAAAGTTTAGAGTGCTCTGCGTAAACTTGAAAATCAATTATTAACTTCTGTTTATTTATTTTTAGCATCTTTCATGTGTCAAGGGCTTGAGAAAGAAAGGAACAACTCTTCCCATCAGGGGACTAGCTTGACACTTATGAGGAGGTTCAGTGTTTTTAGAAACTGGCCTGACAAAGCCATGTTGCTGTCCTGTTGGACAACATCTTATAGAAGACCAATGACAGACAAGGACACTCTGTGACCATGAAGAAATGAGGTAAAACAAGACCACTAACTTTTGTCTAAGCATAGAAAACAAAAGGTTAGTGTGTAATATTAAAATACTCATGTTAAATAAATTAATGGGAAGCCATATGGACTAAGGTCCATTTGGGGCTAAGGTCTTGAAGTAGGGTCCAGCAGACCACACCAAATCAGAATGGAGTCTCTCATGTTTATTGCTGGGTGTTCAGACTAAAGTCTGAAGTGAGCTAGTTTCCCCTGTGTTAGTTAATTTTCTTGTCACTGTGATAGAATTCCTGTGATAGACAAAATCAAGGAAGTGAGGGATTAATTTGACTCACAGTTGGAGTGTATATCATGGTGGAGAAGATACGGTGGTGGGAACTGTGTGACTGGTCTGCAGTCAGGAAACAGAGAAATGAATGCTGGTACTCAGCTGGCTTTCTTCTTTTATTCAGTCTAGCACCCATGGAGCGGTACTTCCTCCAGTTAGGGATTTCTCATATCTCAAACCCAATCAAGATATTCCCTCACAGGCATGTGCAGAGGTTTATCTCCTAGGTGATTTTAAAACTTGTCAAGTTGGAAATCAATATTAACCATTGCCTCGCCACCCCTAACTAGGATATTCATAGCAATCAATCAGGATGGTTCTAGTTTCCCTGAGCTGGAAATGATTTTGAAATGACCAATCTGCTTTTCACTCTTTATTTTTGCTTTCTTTAGCTTTTTCTTGCTGACAAACTCAAACTCTCTGCTCAGCTCATTGGCACACTCATTGTAATTCACAGAATGAAGGGTAATACTTTTCTAGAATTGCAAATATAAAACAATTGGATTTTTAAGCTAAACTTGTTGTAATTTTGTCTTTTGGCACCACATGAGTGGTTGCATTATATCAGTTAGTGCTTTAGCCTGCCATGCCCCTAGAAAAGATTAAGGTGTCCAGTCATCACACTGTCCCCACTTCCTGACTGCACCTAATGCAGGGCAGTCCTTCTCACCTTATTCTGTATTTTCCTCAAATCGCCTAGGTAAGACACAGATCTTTGAAGCATTTTCTAACACTCTCTGCCTGAGATCCCCCATGGTTTACTATAGTGCATGTTCTTACACTTATAATAAACAACTTGTCCTAATTGCAGGTGTTTTTCCTAGTGGTCATTGGCTGGAGGAAAATAGTTTTAAGAGTTCTATATATGTTGTTTCACATAAGCTGAACACATCCCTCTTTGGGTATTTGTAGATTGTTCTAGTTTGCTTCCTGTTGCTGTGATAAAACACTGATAAAAGCCAACTTGGGGAAGAAAGGGTTTATTTGACTTACATTTCCATGTCACAGGGCAGGAACTCAAGCAGGAACCTGGAGGCAGAAGGTGAGCAGAGACCATGGATGGATGCTGCTTACTGGCTTGCTTCCCTTGGCTAGCTCAGCTATCTTTCTTGTATAGCCCAGGCCCACCTGCCCAGGGTATCCATTTTGCCCACAGTGGGTTGGGCTCTCCTACATGAATTAGCAATTAAGAAAATTCCTCATATACATTCCCACAGGCTGGCCTAAGGGAGGAAATTCCTCAGTTGAGGTTCCCTCTTCCCAGGTGACTCTAGTTTGTGTCATGTTGAAAAGAACTAAGCAGTACACCAATGGAAAAGCAAAGGCAGTTGAGCATCATCTCTAACACCACACAGCTAATAACTATCAAGAATAAAACTTTCATCTTGGCTGTTCTGTCATCACAACAAGGAGCAACTCCTTCCAGTGACCTTGCTGATCTCCTGGAAGTTTCCCTAAAACAGCAAAACACTATCCCCAAGAGAAAAACCAAAACCCAACCCTCCAAAAAAGCTGTAGAGTGAAGACTTACTTAGACCTAAGGCTCATTTTTCTGAACCTCTGTGATAATCTCCCTGGAGAACCTAGAGTTGTTTCTTGTACCAAAATCAATACTTTATGTTTACCTGTCTTGGCTCACATCACTTCCATACGGTCAGAAGATCAATATCTTTAAGGAAATAGTTCAAAAGAAAAGATAACTTTTAAAGGGTAAAAACCCAGCGATGTATTAGAAAACTGCATTAGTCTCGTAACTTGACCTTCAGTATACACAACAAATTCTTCTACATGGTTTTGTTTCAAGGACCTTCATTATATGCCAGTGAAGTTTCTTCAGCTTTGTACTCTTGACCTGCCTTGGCCTTGCTGCCTGCAACACCTCTCATGTGAACACCCAGCCACTCTTCTGACTGTGGAAATCCATGTATCCTAGCTGTTCTAAAGAATCTCTTGAGCCCCTTCTCTATTGAAACATTGGACCCCAAGGAATTGGAGTTTCCCCCAAGAATCTCTTCCTGGGAGAAGGAAAAGGCTAAAGCCTGGATCCAGGCAGAGGAAGAACTTGTCTCCTGAGAAGAGACTTTACACTGTTCTTACAATCTGTCAAATCACCTTGCAGGACCTATAATGCCAAGGCAATGACAATGGGCAGTACTACACCTTGACTAAGACTGCTTAGTTATGCATACCCCTTGCACTCTATTCAAACCTAAACTTCATGTCAGGACCCCAAAGATAGACTTGGGGGATTACTGGACCTCTTTATTTGTTCCTCTTAATGTGGCTCTTATTTCCTTTCTTTGCTTTTCGTTTCTACCTGTGTCTTTAATTGGCATTTTTAGGATGGGTGGCAGTTTCTTGTTAAGGCTGACTGAGCCCAGGCTCTGACCCTAACTACCTGAGTTATACTATTGCTTTCCTATACTCCTTCATATTTAACATCTCTCCTTTGTTCTCAAAAGAACTTGTAGAGTAACTGCTGCAACCTTTACATTAGTTATTTATGTAAACTTCTTGTAAAATGCATTAAACTGTGAACTGTGTCGATTAGTGAGTTTTTAAAATTTTTTTTTTATTTTGGGTGGACTCCTCTGTTATCCCAGAGTGAATGAGCATACTGCCCCTAGGCACTCTGTAGGTGCTCAAAGAAGTCAAAGAAAAAGCTACACCTGCATTAACAATTCTACAAGGCTGATTGACTGATAAGAATACCCATGATTTTAGACAGTTGGAATGTTGCAGACCCAGGGCCCAATCATGTTTGCTCCCTTAATTGACCTAATGGTTCTTGTGACTATCACATGAGACCCTTTGAATTACATTAAAAGACAAACTCCATCTACTCAAACCTGTCATCACATTGTATCTGAAGGCTTTGTTGTAGCTCACCTAATTAATGTTTCTGCTAATGTATTTGAAAAGTGTCTTGATGAATAACTTTCTTTTGCTTTTCAATTATTAACTTCATGAGGCTCAGGGATTAAGAAGCACTGACTGCTCTTGGAGAAGAGGACCTAGGTTCTATTTCCAGCACCCATATTGGGGCTAACAACCTTCCATAATTTCAGTTCCAGTGATCCAACACTCTTCTGACCTCTGTAGGCATTGCATGAACTGGTGCACTTACATATATGCAGGCAACGCACACACACACAAACACACGCACACACACACATGCAAGGGGGGTGGATCTCTGTGAGACCAAGGCCAGCCTGGTCTACACAGCAAGTTCCAGGCCAGCTGGGGTTATAGGTTGACCCTGTAACCCCAACCCAACCCAATTAACCTCCCCCCAAAAACCCAACAAACAAAATTTCATGAAACTGTTATCACATGGTATTTAGGGCAACCTAAATTCATGTTCCCTGGCCATGGTCACTGATACTTGGCTCCAGAAGGAATTCTCTTATTCTCTTTGGCATGAGAGCTCTCTCTCTCTCTCTCTCTCTCTCTCTCTCTCTATATATATATATATATATAATTTTTTTTATGTGTATGCATGTATTGCCTTCATGTAGGTAAGTGCACCCCTGTCATGCAATGCTCGTGGAGGACAGAAGAGGCTGTCAGATCCCCTGGAACTGGAGTTACTGACAGTTGTTAGCTGTCATGTGGGTGCTAGGATTCGAATCCGGGTCTTCCAGACCAACCAGTGTTCTTAACTGCTGAGCCATCGCTCCAGCCCCTTAATATATATTTTAAACATTTTATTTTTATTTTATGTGTATGAGTGTATTGCTTGCATGTGTGTAAGTGCACCCGTGTTGTGCAATGCCCTCAGAGGTCAGAAGGCAGCCTCGGATTCTCTCGGAACTGGAGTTAGCCACCATGTGGATGCTAGGAATCGAACCAGAGTCCTCTGCAAGAGCAGTCGGTGCTCTTAACCGTGAGCCATCTCTCTAGCACCCAAGAGCTGTGTTTTTATATAACGTTAACCAAGTCTAGAAAATATCCCTTCCAAGAGCAACGGCGCTGGTGAAGAGGATCATGAAGTCCTTCTTGTGGCCCTGGCCTGAGACCAGTCTCAGGCTTATCAAGGTTTTCTGTAGCAGCGCTGCTCAAATGCTCAGTGGGTCTCCCTGCGGTTGTTTTCGTGAGATAGCTCTCAAAGTCCAACAAATCCAGGTAAGAGACTCTCATCTGCTCAGCATTCCTTTCTAAGCCTGTATCTCACTCTGCACCCTCCAGGTGATCTGCCTGAAAAGCCCAGCGGCGAGGAGTGCAATGGACAGGTGGAGGAGCCAATCAGGCCTTGGCATTCCCGGAAGGGGCGGTACCCTGGCGTGTCACCGGCCCTGCGGCGCGGGATTGGAGGGCCTGGCGGCCTGCACTGGCGGGAGATTTCGGATGTGTTGGCCCGCCCGGTACAGCGGTTAAGGTGGTGCGCTGACGGCGTGGGCAAACCCGCAGATCCCAGCGCCGGATCGCCATCCAGGAAGATGGAGCGGCAGCGGCGACGGGCGCTCGGCCCTGCACTCGGCTCGGCGACTGGGACCTCGCGCCCGGGCTCGGCCTCGCTCCGGGACAGCAGGGACGGCCAGGCACTGCGCAGGAAGGGGCCGCCGCCCGCAGCACCCGCGGGCCCGGAGCAGCCCGGAGAGAAGCGTCCCAAGTTCGTAAGTGTTGCGCGAGTGCGCGGGGTCCTGCTGCCTCCTGCCTTCCGGGCACTGCCCGGGGGTTCTGACTTGGGGGAGCTGGCCTTGTTCCCGGTGGCGGAAGCTGCGGGTCTGCACTGATCAACTGCTGCGGGACCAGACTCAGATGGGCAGATCCCCTGTTCTCAGTGCGTGCTTACATTTCTTAGGAAAGATAGGGAAAACAGTTCAGATGTCTATGTATTGACGTCATCTAGGCGGATTCTGCATTTTTTAAAAGTAGAACCGCTCTACCCATTTAGTATAACAGTCTCTAAGGCAGAAAGTGAACTTTTGGGTGATAGTATTTTTTTTTTTCTGCCTGATATTTTAATACCAGAACGTTAAGGTGGATAATTTTTTTCTAGTTGGGACAATTTGTTTTCAAATTTTGGCGGATCTTGTGGTCACTGCTAAAGAATGTCTTATTTGATTTGGAAAGAAGTCTCAAGGATTTGAAAGCCGTTAGTCTGGTTGACTTTGCTTTAACACTCAAGGGAAGGGTCATGATTAGTACCTTGTAAGGTCTTCCTTAGTGCCAGGTAGAGAAAGAATAGGTAATGAGGGTTGTTTCGTGTGTGTGTGTGTGTGTGTGTGTGTGTGTGTGTGTGTGTGTGGTGTGTGTGTGTGTGTGTGTATGTATGTATGTATGTATGTGTATGTATAAATTACAGAGTAGATTTGGGGATTAGTCCAACAGAACTGGAAATTTAATACTGACTACTACTGCTACATTTTACTTACGAATGTTGCAAACCTTTTTTGGTGTTAATATAGTATTTGCCTTTTCTTGACAAGTTAAACTTAAGGGATTTAAATCATGATTCAAAAATTAAGGATATAATTGTTTATGACTCAGTTGCTAAGTCTCTCATTAACTTGTAATAGTTGAATACAGCTGAGAGCAGAGCTGAGCTATCAGAATACTGACAGTAACTGAAGATTGATTATGTGGAATTAAGCATCAAAATGATAATAGGAATCTTGATGCTTTGTAGGAAAGTCTAGTGTGTGCTTTATTACCATTGTCAGGTCAAAGATATGAGGAGAGATTTAGTTTTGCAGTGAAAGATTCTGCCCACTCTTGAGAAGAATCCACTGGAGTGATTCCATTTCTTTCTTTTATAATCTCTCTGGTGTATAATCTAGACTCTAGTGATCCATGAGTCAGGTGGTGTGATTTTCTGTTGCTTTAGCAAGGAATTCCTGAAAACAGGCCCTAAATACTTAGTTTACTGAAGGCTGTATTTGGTGATTCTGTCTTTTATTTCTTAGGTATGCCATATTGACCACCTCACCATGCCATTTGTTAAAAGTCATATAAAGATGAAATGGGCTTAAAACACAGCTCTTTGAAGCTCCAAGATGGATAACCACCACAGTGCTGAGTGGGCTTGAAATAACTCTTGACTTCATAATTCATTCTTGGTGATCTTTACAGTTGGATTGTTACTTACAGTATAGTTTCTTTTTTTTTTTTAATTTTTACAAAAACTGTATTCAGAATTTCATACATGCATATAAGGTGTTTTGATCAAATCCATGCCCACTCCCTCCACTCCAACATTCCCCCCTCTGAAGAGGTAACCCTAAAATCTTTTAAGGATTAGTTACAAGTACCCAAATACTTTTGACATTTTTGGCCTTGGTACAGAGTATGTTGCTAACAGACCCAAGGACATTTTGACTTTTAGCCAAGAAACTGGCTACTTTTCTTTGGAGTCTTTTTACCCTAACTGCCTAGCCAATTCCTACCTCCTATTCTTATCACACCACCCCCTGAAGGGGTTACCCAAATTGCCAGTAGGGAATAGGGACAATGACTGCCCTGGCTTCTTCCATGCTGAACAGGGACACAGGGTGAGGCAATGGGTGTACCCCTTCAGTGGGTCTATCTAAAAGACTCCAAAATTGCATAACTTTTGTCTCTAAGGGGAGAAGAAACTCCTTGAATCATGAATGGGATGTGAAGGAGAAGTAAAGTCAAGAGTAATTAGCATTACAAGTTCTAGACAGGGAACTAGAAATGTCAGAGCAGGGCAATTTTCAAATGTTCATATGAGAGTCTATTGGAGTTTCTTGACAAGGGCTTCCAAAAGCATCCCTATATTGGGTTCTTCCTCATTTTTCTTTTGTCTTCCAAGGCTGGACTAGGTACCTGGGAAGAGTGGCTGGAAAGAGTGGCTGGATATTCAGGCGTGGGTCCAGTGACCCTGCTTGGCACTCCTTTAATGAATGAACACAACTGTCAACAAGCCCGATTGTGACTGTTTAGCGATCAGGCACAGCCAAAGTCGTAAGGATGGTAGTTATTTCATGCAGCAGGGACTGCTGTATAGCATCATCTTATTAAAAGGACCTAGAAGTTAAAAGGATTTGGTGCTAGGGGCCATATATGAGGGAGAACATACGTCATTAATTTTTCTGAGTCTGTGTTACTTTACTCAGTATAACAGTTTCTAGATCCATCCATTTACCTGCAAATTTCATTATTTCATCTTTCTTTACTGCTGAATAGAACACCATTGTGTAAATATACCACATTTTTGTTAACCACTCATCAGTTGAGGGGCACTTAGATTGCTTCCATCTCTTACCTATTGTGAAAAGAGCAGCAACAAACATAGTTGTGTAAGTGTCTCTACAGTAGAATAAGTCCTTTGGGTATATGCCAAGGAGTGGTATAACCAGGTCATATGGTAGGTTCATTTTTAGTTTTTTAAGAGTTCTCCACACTGTTTTCCATAGAGGCTGCAATCCATCAGCAGTGAATGAGTGTTCCCCTTTTTCCACATCCGGCCACCTTTGGTATCATTTGTTCTCTTGATCCTAGCCAGTCTGATTGAGGTAAGGTGGTACCTTAGGGTGGTTTTAATTTGCATTTCCCTAATTACTAACGATGCTGAACATGTTTTTTGATGTTTCTTAGCCATCTTTATTTCTTCTTTTGAGAACTCTCTGTTTAGATCGCTAGCCCATCTTTTAATTGGGTTACTTTCTTTCTTGAGGCTTTGTTTTTTGAGATCGTTATATATTCTGGATGTTAAACCTCTGTTAGATGTGTTGCTGGTGAAGATTTTCTCCCATTCTGTGGGTTTTCTCTTCACTTCCTTGGTTGCTTCTTTTGATGTACAGAAGCTTTTAATAGTTTCAGGGTTTCCAGTTTCACATTGAGGTCATTGGTCCATTTGGAGTTGACTTTTGTGCAAGGCAAAAGGTGAGGATCTAGTTTCATTTTTCTGCAGATGGAGATCCAGTTTTGCCAGCACCATTTGTTAAAGATACTGTCTTTCCTCCATTGTGTGTTCTGGGCACCTTTGTCAAATATCAGGTGGCTGAAATTACATGTACTCAGCTTTGGATCTTCAGTGATGTTCCCTTGTTCTATGCGTCTGTTTTTGTGCCAGTACCATACTGTTTTTATGACTGTGGCTCTGTAGTATACTTTGAGATCTGGTATAGTAATTTCCGCAGTGTTGCTCTTTGTGCTCAGGGTTGCTTTGTGCTCAGGGTTGCTCTCCAGGGTCTTTTATGCCTCCATATGAATTTAAGGACGGATTTTTCTAATTCTGTGAAGTATGTTACGGGATTTTGATTGGGATTGCATTGAATCTATCTATACATTGCTTTTGGTAGGATGGTCATTTTAAAAATATTAATTCTTCCAATCCGTGAACATCAGAGGTCCTTCCATCTCCTGGTGTCTTCCTCAATCTCTTTAACGATTAAAAATTTTCATTTAAGAGATCTTTATTCCAAGACATTTTAATCTTTTTGCAGCAATTGTGAATGGGAGCATTTCCCTGTATTCTTTCTCTATTTGCTTGTTATTGGTATATAGAAAGGCTACTGATTTTTGTAGATTGATTTTATAACCTGCCACTGTACTAAAAGTTTTGATCAGTTCTAGGAGTTTTCTTGAGGAACTTTTGGGATCTCTTAGGTATATAGTATCATATCATCTGCAAAAACTGATAGTTTGACCTCTTCTTTTCCAATTAGTACTCCTTTAATTCCTTATCCTGTCTTACTGCTCTAGCAAGAGTTTCAAGCACTATGTTGAAAAGGAATGGAGATAGTAAACATCTTTGTCTGGTTCCTGATTCTAATGGGAATGCTTCCAGTTTTTCTCCATTTAGAATGATATTGGTTGTGGGTTTGTTGTATATAGCTTTAATTATGTTGAGGTATGTTCCCTCCAGTCCAATTGCCTCTAGGACTTTGAACATAAATGCATGCCAAATATTGTCAAAAGCCTTTTCTACATCTATTGAGATGACAATTTGTTTTATGTCTTTGAGTCTATTTATATGATTAATGACGTTTATTGATTTGTGTATATTGAACCATCCCTGCATCTCTGGGATAAAGCCTACTTGATCATGGTGGATGATCCTGATCTGTGTCTGTATGCGGTTTGTAAGTATTTTGTTGAGAATTTTTGCATCTATGTTCATTAAAGATATGGGTCTATAGTTTTCTTTTTTGGTTGTATCTTTACCCGGTTTGGGTATTAGAGTGATGCTGGCTTCATAGAAGATATTTGGGAATTCTCCCTCTGTTTCTATCATTTTGAATAATTTAAGTAGTATTGGTTGGAGGTCTTCTTTAAATGTCTGTAAGAATTCTGCTATAAATCCATCTGGGCCTGGGGTTTTTTTAGTTGGGAGGCTTTGTATTACTGTTCGAATTTCCTTATATGTTATGGGTCTGTTTAAACTGTTGATCTCTTCTTTATTTAACTTTGGAGGTTCCCATGATTTCAGATATCCATCCATTTCTTTTAGATTTTCAATTGTAGTAGCATATAGGTTTTAAAAATATTCCCTTATAATGGTCTAGATGTTTAGGGTGTCTGTTGTGATGTTTGCCCTTTCATCTCTGATTTTGTTCATTTGGAGGTGCTCTTTCTTTCTGTTGGTTAATTGGACTAGCGGCCTGTCTATCTTGT